AGGCTTCAGAGCTGCTGTACATAGGGTCTCCATGAATCACAGGTGTCTCAATAGCATATAACAATAACTTAATGTCCTTAATGCAACTGCACAAGGGACCTGATCTTTATTCATTAGTACTCAATGTGCCAAATCTATTCTTTTAAATTTTTTTTTTAATTCACATTGTATTTCTTATGCTCACTCTCATACATTGTGTTTTATAATCACCATTGATCTACACCTACTAATACCTCATCTTTTCAGATCCCCATTGGATCTTTCCAAATTCCTTCACACCCACCAAATCTATTCCTGGGATGGTCTCTAAATTCAGGTGGGATATACTCAGGGGAGGGAGCTCTGATGGACTAGCGGTTATGGAGTTGTGTTGCCAACCCACAGTCAAGTGATTCGAATGCATCGGTTGTTAAGAAATAAAGTAAATAAAGATGGAAATCTTTTCCCTTGTTCTTCAAGGCTTTTGAAAATCCACACTGGAGGGTCAGGCTCAACAGCAATGAACTAAAATATAATACCTGGTATGTTGTACTTTGACTCTTGTGGACTTGTTTTCATTTTCTTCAGCTTTATCTTGAACTTGAATATGACCAATTAATGATCTTTCCTGAAGTCAGTTCCTGGCCTTTTTCTGACTGATAAGATTGAGGTAGTCATGTCTTTTTACACAGACGTAGTCAATATGATTGCTGTGTGTTCCATTTGGCAAGGTCCATGTGTATATTCACCATTTATGTTATTGAAAACAGTTACTTCAAATGAATACACCTTTGATCTTTCAAAATCCTATTATTCACTCTCTGGTGTATTTCCTACCACCAATGTCATACTTTCCAGCTACTGATCAGTCTTCGTTTCTAAACTTTACATTTCAGTCAGTAGTAATTATCAATGCATCTTGATTTTATCTTTAATTTCATACTGCAAAAATCAGTAAAAATATAGTTTTCTTTGGTATTAGTGGTTAGTGTATAAATGTGAACAATATTAACATGTTGCCGCAAATGACTGCGAAATGTGTTGCTAAGCACGGTTGTCAATTTAAAAGTGTGCAGCAACGTGTTAACTGAGCTTCCTTGTAGCATGTGGATATTACCTTATCACTGACAGCATTGTGCTGCAGAATATAGCGTGAAAAGTTACTTTTGATATTGAACGCCGTTCCTCTTCAGTTTATTGCCCATGACTCATAGCCACCCTATGAACAACAGGTCAGAACCTTGCCCGAGCCTGTGTCATCATTTTTTTTTCTACTTAAGTCCATTGTCTTTCCAATTACTTGCTAGGCATCAGAAAGTTGGACAATGACTAGAGATGATAGAATTGATGACTTTGAGCTGTGGTGCTGGAGAAGAGTGTTGAATATACCATGAACTGCTAGGAGAACAAATAGTTTCATCCTAGAGAAAGTGATACCAGGCTGCTCCTGGGAAGTAAGGATTTTGAAGCTTCATCTGACATATTTTAGACATGTTGCAAGGAGGGACTAGTCCTTGGAGAAGGACATCATGCTTGGGAGGGTGGAGGGGCAGTAAAAGAGAGGAAGACTCTTGATGAGATGGATTGACTCAGTGACTGGGGTAATGGGGATGGGTGTGTCAGAGACTGTAAGATTGTCACAGGAGAGGGCAGGGTTTAGGGCTGTTGTACATAGGGTCACTATGAGTTGCAGGCAACTTGACGGCACATACCGACAAAGAGTCCATTGTAAGTCACCATTTTAATCCATCTTGTTGAGAGTCTTCCTCTACCTTTCACAGCATGATGTCTCTCTCCAAAGACTAGTTCCTCTTGAAGATATGCCCAAAGGGTCGTGTCAACACCCTTGTCTCTTAGGAGCACTCGGTTGCACTTTCTTCAAGACAGATCTGTTCTTTTGGCAGTCCATGGTCTACTCAGTAATCTTCTCCAACACCAGTTCTGTCCTATAGTTATATGTGAAACCAACACAACAGCAATGAATTTGGTTTGGGTTATGAATGCGTAAGAGTGAAATGAAATGAATTCCTGTCCAGTTAATTCTGACTCACGCCAGCATCATGTATTTTAGATTAGACTTCACAGGGTTTTCAATTGTCTCCTATGTTTGCAGTGGTCAAAGAATGGAATTTTGGACCTGCAAACAAGTAGCAGAGGAAGGACAAGTGTCCAAAAGGCTGTGAAGGCCAAAGTTTCAACAGCAATGCCATGTGGGAAGAATGCCTAACTAGAGTGGAACCCATATTGATTTTCCTAGAATTCCATCACAGCCACATGTATAGTTGGGAACAGGAAGCAGGTCACCCAGAAGGGAGCCAGCTGGTGCTGGGTAGGTGTTTAGAGGTCTGGGGTTTACCTGGAGCTCATGGGAAGGGTCTACAACTGCAAAGAACACTATCAACAGGGTCTCTATAGATACTAATGAATGAACTGCATAGAATTGGAGTTAGGAGCTTGCGAGCTGGCCCCACCCTTAAGAGTATAATATTGCATGTTTCCCAGCCCTATGCTGCCTTCATGATCATGATGACTGGGTCCACTGTTGTTAATCCATCTCATTGACTGCTTCCCTCATTCTCATTGGCCCCTATCCCAGACACAAAGTAGGTTTCTAGGAATTGCTTTTTCCTGATGACACTTCAAAATAAGCAAGTTAAAGTCTCTGAACTAAGACACATTCTGGCTGGATTTCTTCCAAGACAGATTTACTCTTTCTTCTGGAACTCCATGAATGTTCACTATTCTTGACCACTCTTTGCCTTGGAACTTCTGAAGTCTGTTCCCTCCCTCACGGTAGGTTTGGCTAGTGGAGCAATAGTGAGTGAGTGTAAGCAGAGATGTGAAAAGAGACTGCCTGCTTTTGTCTCCTCTCTGGAAACCCATGAGAACAAGTGAAGGCTAGCTTGTTGGAGGGATGTGGGCGACACAGGGTGGCAAATAGTCCCAGACAAGGCTATTTTGGATTAGTTCTCACCCAGCCAACCCACCAGCCATTGCAGATGTACAAGCAAGTCCATCCAAACCAGCCAGATCCAATGCAAATATTCAAGACACAAACCAAACCAGAGACTTACTTGAACAGTAAATAGCTGCTGTCTTAAGCCACTATGTTTGCAATGTCTTGTTAGATGGCTATAGCTAACCAATATAGGCACCCTTGTCCTCTAATACCGGCACCAATGGTACTGAAAAGCAAATGAGTACAGTGAGGTTTTGATAGGACATGGTAAATAGTGGCATTATTGTGACGTGCCATTGAGTCAGAACTGACTTCAGCAGGTTATCAGAGGCTATGAACTACAAGGGAGGAGAATGCCCATCTTTCTACTGGGGAACAGCTGGTGAATTCAAACCCTGCTCCTTTGGGTTGGCAGTGCCACTTGTTATCATTAAAACCCTAGATCTCCCTAATGGCATAATACAATCATAATTGTTGCTGTTTTTGTAAAGTGCCATAGAGTCATAGATAACTCATAGCAACCCTATGAATGAAAGACCTGAACACTCGTATAACTTCATTGTTTCTCCATGTTCATAGAGTTTCTGGAGGCAAGCTATTTCGGAAGTGGATGTCATCCCTGTTATGAAATGAAATGTGTATGAGTAACTGAATAAAAACCAATTAGAAAGAAAAAGAAGGAAGGAAGGAAGGAAGGAGAGAGAAAGAGAGAAAAGAAGGAAGGAAGGAAGGAAGGAAGGAAGGAAGGAAGGAAAATGAGAAGAAGCCATGGTCTGCCAGGTTTTATTTATAGTCTAGTGAACTGGAACCAGAAAAAGCTGCAGAGTGGCTTTGGTGCACATGACAGAGTCTTGGGAAGGGGGTGGGAGTGCCAGAAGCAGAGCCCTCACCAGACCTGAGGGAGTCCTTGATGGACAACACAGGACACATGAGACAGAAAGCGAGTCCAGGTAACAGCAGCCAGGGTGCAGCAGTGGGGAAGCCCGGACTCCTCACTGCAGGTCTCAGGGCCGGGGGTCATAGACCCGCCCCATGAAGACCGGGAACCCATGCTGCTGGTCCCAGAGCAGGAAGAGGAAGGGCTGTTGCACTTCAAAGAGGAGTAAGTTGCGGGCCACAGACACCACAGAGGCAGCGGACGCATCCACCCCAGACTCTGTCAGCTCCAGAAGGGCCTGGTGCTTCATCGCAGACACCTGAAGATCCGGGTCCTCCGTCAGGCCACAAAGGTTAAGGTCGTAAATAAAGTCGAAGAATTCTAGGGCATAATCAGAGGGAAACAAAGCGTCAGAAATGTGCACAAGATCCCAAGGTGCTGAAGATGCTGGCTGATGCCCGGCTAGTCCTGACTCCAGATGCTCTCTGCCTCCTCCTCCTCCTTTGCTAGCTGTTGTTAGGTGCTGTCAAGTTGAGAAAACAACCTACATTGATGCGAACAGATCTGAACCCTGCCCTATCCTGTGCCGTCCTCACAATCTCTGACACTTCTGAGCCCAGTGCTGCAGTCACTGTATCAATTCACCTGGTTGAAGTTCTTCCTCTCATATGCTGTCCCTCCATCTTTCCAAATATGATGTCTATCTCCAAGGAATAACATCTCCTCGCAACATTTCTAAAGTATGCACGATAAAGCTTCATCACCTCTGCCTCCAAGGACAGCTTTGGCTGCACCTTCTTCTGGACAGATGTGTTGTTTCAACAGTTCATGGAATGTTCAGCACTCTAACACCACAGTTCAAAGGTATCAATTCTTCTTCTGTCACCCTTAGTCACTATCTAGCTTTCAGATGCAAAGCAAATTAATGAAAAGACCAAGGCCTGAATCAGGCAAATCTTAGCCCTCAAACTGACATAATTGCTCCTCGATAATTTGGAGAGGTCCCTGACTATAGATTTTCCTAGTGCAATGAGTCTCCAGATCTCCTGACTGCTGGTACCAAGTGTATAGATTGTGGATCCAAGGAAGATGAAGTAGTTTTTGGTCTTAATCCTTTCTCCGTCCATCAAGATGTTACCTATCGGTGAGAATATTTGCTTTTTTGACGTTGAGAAGATGCAATCCATAATGAAGGCTATAATTTAAACACTATGCCTCTGGAAACTCTATGAACACTGAGAAATGATGATAGTTATAGAAAGGCTTCAGGTCTTTTGTTCATAGGGTTGCTATGAGTCGTGCTCAACTCGGCGGCAATCAACAATAACAACAACGTTTAATGTTTAACCTTCTGCATCAAGGGCTTCAAGTCCTTCTCACTCTGCTGCTGTTGGGTGTCGTCAAGTCGATTCCAACTCAAGGCCATTCTATGTCAACCCCCTATCCCAGAGTTTAATGTCTCGTATGTTTTTCTAAGCTGTCACTTTACAAGGATCAGTGGTGGGATAGTTGCAGGGAGTTGCACTGCTATCCCAAAGGTGGGGTCTGTCTGGTGGCTGGAATCTACCAGTGGCTCTGGGGAAGGAAGACGACAATCTCCTCCCATGTGATTCACAGCCTCTGAAAACCCGCTGGAGGGTCGGCTATGAATCAGTGTTGACTCAAAAACGAGTTGAGTTTCTGAATCTTTATTTGAGCTGATTGCAGAGTATTTCTCCTGCAGAGTCACTGATGGCAATAAACCAATGATCCCTCTGTTAGAAACCGAGTATTTAACCTCGGTACCACGAGGGCTTGTGAGATTCTCTGTGGTCGTTATAGGATCCTCTCCCAGTGGGCTCATCTTCCCTCCAACTCCACTCTTTTTTTAGAAAGTGAAAATAAAGATCGTTTATTAACAAAAGATACATCTCAATCCTCAGGAGTAAAAAGATGGAGAAAGACCTATCACTCTCTCTTAAGAGGTGTGAGATCCGGCCTCCTTGCTTCAACAAAAACCCTAAAAAAATGTTACCATGGCTTCCTCGCCTCTAAGGACCTTGGGAGTGAATGTATCAGAGCAAGGTCAAGCATTTTAAAGTGAGATCACAGCACAGGATGTGATTCCATATACTGGGCATAAGAGTTTATACGAGAAGGTCAGGTTCTGTAATAGGACATAGAGTATGATATCTGGAAACAAGGTTAAATATCAATTAGGAAGGTGAACTGTTAGGAAATGGCATCTACATGACTTCTCCTATGAATCCTGAATGGCGCAGTGAATTACACATTGAACTGGCAACCAAAAGGTCAGCAGTTCGAATCTTCCAGCTACCCCATGGGAGAACAATGCAATAATTTCATAAAGATGCATATAGCATAGCCTTGGAAGCTCTATGGGCCAGTTCTGCTCTGTCCTATAAGGTCAGTATGTACTGGAGTCAACTTGACAGCAGCGAGGCTGGTTTCTTTTTTGTTTCTGGTGACTTCACCAAAACTCAGAAGCTTCAAGAGACTCTTCTCCAGGTAGCTTCTTGCATATTCCAACGTGTGGATGATTGCTGCAGAATGTCTCTGGAGAAGGAATGTCCACAACGCCTCTTAGACCCGTAGCTATCCCAGTGTTTAAGACACAGTGAACAACAGTGGAAATTGTCGAGAGAGGTGGAGACCTCTGTGTTCTGGTACATTTCTAAGTAGCTCATGGAACCCTGTTGTTGCTAGGTGCTGTCAAGTCAAGTACAATTCACAGTGACCCTGTGAACAGCAGAGTTGAACCTTGTCCTATCCTGTGCCATCCTCATCATCTCTGACACATTCGAGCCCACTGCTGCAGTCATTGTGTCAATACATCTCATTGAAGGTCTTCTCTTTCTCCGACCCTCCACCCTTTACCTAGCTATATCTTTCTAAGGAACAGCCTCTCCTAGCCAAAAGGCCCAAAATTTGCGAGATATAGGAAGCTTTGCCATCTTTGCCTTTAAGGAGTACTCTGGCTGCACTTTTTCCAAGACATAGCTGTTTGTTTTCCTGGCATCCCATGGAATATTCAGTGCTATTCTCCAACAGCACAACTCAAAGGCATCAATTCTTCTGTCATCCTTATTCACTGTCCAGCTATCAGATAATCACAAATGACTGAAAAAAATCATGGCCTCCATCAGGTGCACCTTAGTCTTCAAGTTGACATCATTGCTCCTCAGTAATTTGGAGCTGTACATTACTTTCTGAACTACTGGATTACTGATGCATAATACAGTTGTCTAATAATAATAAGAATCCACTGGGTTAATAAATACCTGCCCCTCCAACTCTTAGGGATGAGAGAGAGAGATAGCCTGACATTATGGGTGGCAAAGGAGCTCTAGGCGATGTGAACCCGTGGGGACCCCGTGTTCTACTCTGATGGGCCGCCGGCTCACCCATCTTCTCCATGACTCCCAGCATGTCCTGGCTGCTCTTCACTTTGATGTGGGGAAGCAGCAGCAGAGTGGGCTGGAACTTGACCGACTCCAGCTTCCTCATGACAGCCTTGAAGACGGTCGGGCTGAGGGCCTGCTCCAGGTCTTCAAGGTGGTGTTTCGGGCTCTGGGGCATGAGGATCACGAAGCTCAGGTTGTGTGAGAGCTGCAGCCGCCCTACCTGGAGAGCAGGAGACACACTGTCATGAACTGAATTGTGTGTCCCCCCCGCCCCCAACATAAGGAATATGCATTTGTAAGAATGTAATGTTGAAGTCATGTAAATGATGCTTCATGAGCTGATACACAAACAATTTGTAGAGGGATTAAGGGTAGAATAGAACACCCATCAAAACCCTGGCCCAATGCAAGGTGAGTTTCCTTGAAGTTGGCCTATAACATCTTTACTCTCACAGAAGATAAAGGGAAAGAAGTAAAGAGAGAGGGGGACTTCAATACCGACAAGAACGAAGATGAGGAGTGGAGCATGTCCTCTGGGGCCTGGAACATGTGTCTAGAAGCTCCATGAGACACACGAAGGTCAACACAAATGGCGATCACCCAGGAAGACAGCCCGCAGACGCTCAAGGGAACAAAGACCTTCCCCAAAAACCAACAGAGAAAGCAAGTCTTCCTCTGGGACTGTCACCTTGAATTTGAACTGTGAGGCAGCCATCTACCTATAGTATTTCTGTCATAGCAGCACTAGATAACCGAGACACACAGCATCAGTTTCCCCATCCTGGTTCCCAGCGAATCCTAGACTCCCAGGATGGTTTAATTCTATGCTGGTGAGACACGACAAGAGCGGAAAGGAAAGAGGCCTCAAAGCCCTTACAGAGGAAAATCAAAGATTACAACCTTCAATGTGGATCTCAACATCAAGAAAACAAAAATCACACTGCAATCCCAGAGGTATGTGGTTCAAATCCACCAGATGCTCAGCAGGAGAAGGAGGGGCAATCTCCTCCTGTACCAGTCAGATCCGATTTGACGGTACACACACAAAAAATAATTTAAAAGAAAACAAAAATCCCTCAGCTGGACCACTAAGCAACACCATGATAAATGGAGAAAAGGTTGATGTCAACTACTTCATTCTACTAAGATCCACAATCTGTGGTACCAGCACCCAAGATATCAAAAGATGGGCTGCACTCAGGGAATCTGCTGCCAAGGACTCTTTTAAAGTGCTCAAGAGTAAGGATGTCAGTTTAAAGACTTAGGTGTGGGACAATAAATAAGGAATACTGAAAAAAAGATTTGATGCTTTTGAATTGTGATATTGCTGAAGGGTAGTGTATATACCATCGCCAAAAGAACAAACAAATCTGTCTGGAAGAAGTGTAATCAGGGTCATCCTTACAGGCAAGGATGGTGACACTTTGTCTCACACATGTTGGACATGTTATCCGGAAGGGACAGTGCCTAGAGAAGGACATCATGCTTGGAAAGGCAGAAGGTCAAAGGACATCATGCTTGAAAAGGCAGAAGGTCAAAGAAAGAGATAGTGAAGACGTTACAAGATCGAGCAAGGTTTCAATCTGTTGTACGTGGAATTGTTATGAGTTGGAGTTGATGTAAAGCACCTAATAATAACAAGTCTAAGATCCTACTGTGACTTACCATTTACTGCCAGTTGCTACGAAATTGACATTGACTTCCACAAGAACTGTGGTCTGCGGGGTATTCAAATGACTGATTTTTCAAAAGTAGGTTTCAGGATGTTTCTTTCAAGAACTAATCTTTTTAATTTACTTATTTAATTTTTGAAAATTCTTTGTGTGTGTGTACCATCAAATCGGATCTGACTGGTACAGGAGGATATTGCCCCTCCTTCTCCAGCAAAGCATCTGGTGGATTCGAACCGCGTACCTCTATGACTGCAGTGCAGCAGCTTCTTGCCACTAGGCCACCAGAGCTCCCTAGAACTAATCTTTTAGTTAGTAGCCAAGAGCATTACTAACCATGGTACTGGCAAGTGACTGGATCTTAATAAGCCCCATGCTTTTCTCCTATGGGTGTGTACATAAAGTATATGACACACATAATGAACCAGCACGCTTATCAGCCTTTGATTGCTCTTCACTGCCTTAAGAGTAAGTTAAAATCTCTGACTGTGGCATTTACACTTAGCCCTGTCTATCTAATCCTTAGGTGTTTCTACTGATGGCCAGGCAAAGGCAGGACACAGGAATGAGCAGAACCCAAGAAGAACTTTCTGCTCAGTAAACACTTGGTAATATCTGGAGAAATGTGAGCTGTTACACTAGGTGTGTACAAGGGAGCAGGGGATGCTACTAGCATCTAGTGGGCAGCAGCCCAGGATGCTGCTAAACATTCCGCAGGACACTTTCTACACAACAAAGAACTATTCAGTTAAGCGAAACCAATCAGTTGTTAGAACATGGGGGAAAAATAGTTCAGAAGTAGGGTATACACCAGCATCAACTTGAGAACATGAACATGAACGTGGGGGTTCCTGTTAAGATAGGCTGTAGCTTGAATGCCCCAGCTGCTGAGCAGGGGAAGGCTGAGGCTGTCTGCTCCCATGAAGATCTATATCCTCAGAAGCCCAGTGAAGCAACACCAGTGGGTTTATCCAGGAAGTACAAGTTCTTCAAGTCCTATAGAAGACTTTGAATCTCTGACCAACAAACTACCACGTTGTGTGCAGTCTTGAATTGTCAATCCAGTAACCTCAGCATACCTGAGCTGGTAAACCTCAACCCTTTTAACTGGATAAATAGCCTTAAACACCAAGAAGAGTTAGAATAAAACATGGAAATAACAAAGTAAACCAACTCCATAATATTAACACTGGTGTTAAGCTCAGGGTAATCCTTGTATTTATTATTTAAAAGTCTTTGTAATTTATAAGAGAATCAAACATGCTCGTCTTAAAACTGAAGGACAACTGTACTAAAATTAAGAATAATACTGAGATACAGAATGCAAGTTGACTTACTTTCAAATTAAATTAATTTTAAAGTAGGTTTTAAGTTTAATTTCACTGTTAAGCATTTAACATGCTTAAAAAGAAAACCAAGCATAACAAATTTATAAAGGGAGTCTGAAATGTGTATGCAAATATTAATTAAGTTTATAAATGGAATAACTGGCTTAAAGCAATTTAATCTGTTCAATATGATTTAAATAAATAAAGCATAATAGAAAGTTACCATTCTTTTATAAAAAAGATTGCTCTATTCTAAATAGGGTGGTAGATTTTACTAAAAATTAAAAAGTTCAAGTAAAACTCTTGATTTTGAATTACAGCACTGAAAAAGTATATATTTGTTTAAAATCCAATTTAACAGCTCATAACAATTGTCTCTTTTTTCATGAGATCACAAGGGCAGGATCGTACTCAACGAACATTACTGAACATTCTTATCAGAGATTCTATAGACAAAATCTTCAAAAGGGGGGGAAATGTAGAACATAATTTCAAATTCTCACAGAACCCTGAGTTTCTGAAACTACTGTTCTCAGATAATCCTGGAGCCCTAACCCTATTTAGAGCCCCTGAAAGCCTTAAAAAAATGCAAACAACAGTTTAGCTTAACTAAGATACATGTGCTGTTTTCAAGATCTGTCTAGATGGGGTCAAGTGACAATAGAAACTCGAAAGATGAGATAGGAAAGTTAGAGGATTCTGAAAGTGTGTTAATGGTAAAGGAACAACTCAGCAAAGGAAGGTGAGAACAGCCATACAACTTGAAGAACAAAATCAATGACACTGATAACACTGAAATGCACATGCAGAAACTGTGAAGTTGGTGTATGTTCTATCATCTTTTCAGTGACACCACCAAATAAATAAACAAAACAAATAAAAATCAACCCTATGAACTCCTCCCCCTTTGATAAAAAAAATTCACCTTGATACCCTTTTCCAGCTACTCTAAGTTAGACTGAAAGGAATGTGTTCAATTACTTAGGCAACAGTTAATGAACACCTTACATACACGGCATTACTTTAGTTACTGAGAGTTTAGCAAGACAGAGAAGAGAGAACATAGTAGGAAGATAGATAAACTATAAGGAACCAACTAACAGAACTTCAGATTGTGGTAATTATCATGAACATAACAAAAAATAGGACAAGAGTGCAGCGTTTTCAAGAGGCCACATTAAGGAGGAAGGGGTGGGGAGGGGAGTGAAGATTACTGACCAAAACTTGGAGCTGAATGAAGAACAAGCTATGCAAGGATCTCAGTGAAGAGGATCCCAGGCAGAAGGAAAAGGTAGGAAAAACTCCCAAAATCGGAACAGTTAGGCCTGTTCCAAGAGCATATCATATGTTCCCCGTCTAGTACTGAGTCACTGGGTCTTTCCCCTTGTTTTCTATCTCCTAGGTCTGTGGGGTTTTCTCCTAATATGATCCCACTAGCACGTCCTCAGGAGAAAGATCTGCTCCTGTAAAAACTGCAGCCTAGAAAGCCCCATGTGGCAATTCTACTCAGTCAGATGGAGTGGCTCTGACTCCAAAAATCTATTTGACAGTACCCTAGACATAAAGAGCTGTGCTGCCAACCCAAAGGCATGTGGTTCAAATCCACTAGCTAGTCCGAGGGAGAAAAGTTGGACAATCTCCTCCTGTGTGATTCACTACCTTTGAAAACCTGCTGGAGGGTCAGCTATGGGTCAGTTCCAAGTGAACAGTACATAACAACCATAACAACAAAACACAAAGGTCTAGTCACTGGGTGTGAGATGGTTTACTAACTGGAATTTTATGGGCTCCCTCTTCTACTTTTTCTCCTTCCTTATCCACTGAAATAACATTGTCTGATTTCTCCCAAGGTACGTAAGTCATTTTATACATGCAAGTACCATACATATGAGCACACAGAGCTAACTATCTGCATGTACATATACACACTGTACACAGGTATACGTACGCAAAAGACTTACCCAGCCATCAAGGCCTCTGATGGGTTGACCAGAAAGAGAAACAAAGGCACAGAATAGGACTCACTTTTTGCAATGAGGTACAGCAGGAATGAAAGAAGAAACTTTAGAATTCTGTCTCCCAGCCTAAAGCACACATTCCGGCCTTGGTCAAAAGGGAGAGAAAAGTAGAAAAGACAGGGTGGGAATACAGATGGAAGGAGTAGAAACGATGCATTAGCAAAGGAGGGTCTAAAGGAAACTAGGATGCTTAGAAGGCTCTGAAATAAGGGGAGACGGGTCAAGGACTCACCTTGGCCTTCAAAGTTGGGTCAGTGAAATGGGCCATAGGGTACTTCTTGCTACTCATCATGGGCACTTTTATCACAGAAGATTTGAAGTGAAAGGGCTCCATTCTGGTTTTTCTATGGTCAAATGTTGTCTTCCACTTGGCTAGAGGAAAAGAGAAGTGGGCGGGGGGAGGGGAATGGCTCCAATGCACAGAGAGCAGGATGAAGAGTTAATATCCCGCTGGCAAGGGCTGGGGCCAGTGTATTGGGGGCCAGCTGTAGAACTTGGACTGGGTAAGTCTGTGGTCAGGAGGGGAAGAAGAACCCAGAATAGGAAAACCTCCTGCTTGGGGCCGGGGGTGGGGTGGAGTGGGGCATCTCCTTACCACTCAGGTAGACAGCATTGAGAAGCACAAGGCGGGAGTCGGAGGGCAGGCTGTTCAGCAGCTGGCTGATCTTGTAGTTGGTGTTCTTGGCCACCCAGGCATTGATGAGGTCCACATTTAAGTCGCTGTCATTACTCAGGACGCTGGGTCTCTGACCATACAAGCTCTGAGAGGCGTTCGCAAAGGCATCTCTTATGGCCAAGTCTGAGAGGCAGGTCAAGAGAAGGAAGTGTCAGTCTCCTCAAGAGTCCATCCCCAATCCAAGGGCAGGCTTCCCATGTCCCTCCTAGCTCGTTCCAATGAACACACAGGAGCCAGGCGTCCAGCTCCCTTCTCAAGGTGCAACAAAGGAGATTCAAGGCAGGCAAACCTTGGTCTAAGAGCAGGAGAACTGGACCCTTGAAGCCTCTACTTGCCATGCAATCCTGGCCTCGCACAAGATAACACTCTGAGACTCTGACTTCCGTTAGCTTCCCTGCATCTTCTCTGTTTTCCTCCCTTAATCCAGCAGGAAACAGACCCCATGCTTCCTGCTTTTGTTCTCCAAAGCCCAAGCCCACTGAGAAAAACAGTGTTTGAGAGAATTTTTTTTCCCTGGACTGAACAGATAAAAGATATTTCCCCAGGTACAACATTAGACCCCAGAACCTTGGCAGAGCTCCAGGGGGGGATGGGGGTTGAAGAGGGGCAGGAAACCCTAAATAATGAATGTAGTTGAATTTCCCAACAACCCAGCAAGGCCAAGGATAAAGCTGATTTATAGGGAACAAGTAAATGCAATGCTTCTCGCATACCTCTGAGTCTTATTATTTCCATCTCTAAAAAGAGGGTGTTAAGCATGTCACAACATGGACAAACCTTGAAAACATCATGCTGAGTGAAATTAGTCAGTTGCAGATGGCCGGATACCATATGATCTCACGCATATGAAATTAGCGAGTACATAGAAACCAATGCCTACAAATGGTTACCAGGGGTGGGAGGGAAGGGGAAAGGGGTGCTTTTGAGGGGAGGCACTGAGTTCACATTTATGGCGGTGGAATATTTTGGAAATGAATCATGATGCTGCTGACACAATACGAAGTATGCGGTCCATGCCCCCGAACTGTAAATGTGGGCTCATTCTAAATACGTTAGAGAATGTCACTTGATTCTATTTCCAGTACAATTAAAAAAACAGACAGTGATGATAATGGAACCGATAAATGAGTTTCTCCCCTTCTTCTCTTTCTTCTTTTATTTTCTCCTTTCTCTGTATTTTCTGCTTTTTCTAATGACTACCTCTCACTTGTACTGAAACTCTTAAATCTTGTGTTTTAAATAAAAGTTTATGATGCATATTGGTTTTTTAGTCAATCATACATACAGATTTTATTACATTAATGAAAATCTCCACAATGTCTGATCATTATCCACTCACCGCATATTGCCTCTTCCTTTACCATCTTAATAAGGGTCCCGTCATCTATTAACTTGTACTCCCTTCTCCCTTCCTTCCCATCCCTAAAAACTATCCAGGAATGATTCTGTGTGTAATCCTTTTTTTTTAGCTTTTTGTATAATCGTGGCCTTAGACAATAGTTGTCCCTGACTGACTGATGAATATAAATTTTTTAAAAAGCTTGACAGATGTTCTTTCTTTTCTTATTTATAAAAAATGAATTTTAAAAAATGTTATTATGTATTTTATAAGAGAAAGTTTAAAAATCATATTGGTTTTTCACACAATAATTCATAGACATCGTTTTGTAACATTAATTACAATTTA